AAGTTGACAGAGCTATCTAGGATGATGGCACATTTTAAGTCTCCTTTACTTGACATTTTCTTTTTTGGATGGCTTCAAACTCCCTGAAGATGACCTTAAACTTTTAATCCTCTGCCTCTACCTCCTAAATGCTGGTATTAAAGGCATGTACCACCACAGCTGGCTTAAGGTGGCTGGGCATTAAACCCATGGCCTAATGAATGCTAGGCAAGCACTGCATCCCTAGCCCTTATAACATTTTCTTATATAGATGTATATTATATTATTTACCTATTATATTATTATTTTATCTATTAAAGTATATATTATATGTGTATATATAATTGTTTTGATCATAATGACCCCCAATTACTGTCTCTTGTTCTCCTTCCACTCCTACTGATCCAGTTCCTCTTTCACACTAGTCCCTGCTTTTATTTTTTCATTTTTTGTGGGACACCAGTGAGTTGAATCAGGATTGCTTACAGGAGCACAGGTGAAAAAAAAATTGCCTCTTAGCTGGGCATGGTGGTTTTTAATCTCAGCGTTCAGGAGGCAGAGGCAGGCAGATCTCTGTGAGTTTGAGGCCAGGACATCCAGGACTACATAGAGAAAATCAGTCTCAAACAAACAACAAATTGCTGGAGAGATGGCTCAGCAGTTAAGAGCACTAGCTGCTCTTTCAAAGGATCCATGTTCACTTTTTCACACAAACATACATGGAGGCAGAACACCAATGTAAATAAAGGAAAATAATAGTAATTTAAAAAAAGGATGTAGTAATTGACTTTTTTAAAAGGAGGGACTGAGGTAAATGAACATGTATAATTAATAATTAATTATAAAGAATTAATATTGCTTAAAATGTGATATCTATATGGAAGGCAGAAGTGATGAGGCTAAATGACAATGGCAAACTGAGAAAGGAGTTATTTTTGCAGTAATATGTAAAAGGAAGGCTGTGGTGGATTTGCCCAAGTCAAGGAACTTTTCTCAATACTGAACATAATCATTTGGCGATAAAGAGCAAATAAAGTGGGACTGGGGAGATGGCTCAGAGGTTAAGAGCACTGGGTATTGTTCAAAAGGTCCTAAGTTCAATTCCCAGCAACCACATGATGGCTCACAACCATCTATAATGTGATCTGGTGCCCCCCTTCTGGCATGCAAACAGGATACTGTGCAAATAAATAAATAAATATAAAGTGAAGACACATATATTTGAAGCCAAGAAAAATATTCTAAAGACTATAGGATAACCAACCCAGAAACCAACAGTTAATCAATCCTTAGGAAATACTTAAGAGGATAGGATGGAGAAATCCCTGAGAAGAAATTTTAAAAAGTGACCACCAGTGAGAAGTGGGGGCAAAAAAAGAGGAAACAGCATCACAGAATCCACAAGTCAATAAATGCCAATGAGTGTTGAAATATGTCAAAGAAATAGGAACTAAGAAAAAACTATCCTTAAAGGTGATATAAATGTCAATATATATGTATGAAAATGTTACAATGGAAGGTATCATTTTGTATACTAACCATAAATTTGCTGTTGTTAACATAATCTCAGTCTTTCCATTTTACCAATGAAGACTCAGGAGCCAGATGTAGGGGTGAAAGCCTGCTAGTTTAGAAAGGCAGAGAAAGCACCCAGCTGACCTTCCTTCCTTTGATGTCCCAAAAAGGAAAGGAAGCTTTCCTTCCCAACACTCTCAAACTCAATGTTCCTCCATTCTACTTCCTGTGTGTCTCCCTATCTGTCCTCCTGACTTCCTCTTACTCTATGATTTTTTTCCATGTTCACTCCCTCTCAACTGGTTGCTTGCTCTGCCTCTTAACCTATGGTTGACTTTATTTAATCTTGTTTTCTGATAGCTCTTGGATTAAAGGTGTGTGCTAGGGCTGAACCACAGCACAACTGGAAACAGGTTTTCCCAATAAGAACACAATCTCAGGGTTCACAGTGTGATCAAATATCCTGCAACGTAAATTTTTAGTTTAAAAAAGAGAGGGGGTTGCACAAAACTAAAGTCTAAGTGGATCAAAGACCTCAACATAAAACCAGACACATTAAATCAGCTAGAAAAAAAAGTGGGGAATACCCTAGAACTCATTGGCACAGGGGACAACTTCCTGAACAGAACTCCAACAGCACAGGCTTTAAGAGCAACAATCAATAAATGGGACCTTATGAAACTGAAAAGCTCTGTAAAGCAAAGGACACCGTCATCAAAACAAAACGACTGCCTACAGATTGGGAAAGAATCTTCACCAACCCTTTATCTGACAGAGGGCTAATATCCAGTATATATAAAGAACTAAAGAAGCTGAAAAGCAACAAACCAGGTAATCCAATTAAAAAATGGGGAACAGAGCTAAACAGAGAATTCTCAGTAGAGGAATATCGAATGGCAGAGAAACACTTAAAGAAATGCTCAACGTCATTAGCCATCAGGGAAATGCAAATCAAAACGACCCTGAGATTTCACCTTACACCCATCAGAATGGCCAAGATGAAAAACTCAAGTGACAACACATGCTGGAGAGGTTGTGGAGAAAGGGGAACCCTCCTCCATTGCTAGTGGGAATGTAAACTGGTACAACCACTTTGGAAGTCAATCTGACGCTTTCTCAGACAACTAGGAATAGTGCTTCCTCAAGACCCAGCTATACCACTGCTAGGCATATACCCAAAATTTGCTCAAGTACACAATAAGGACATTTGCTCAACCATGTTTATAGCAGCTTTATTTGTAATAGCCAGAACCTGGAAACAACCCAGATGTCCATCAATGGAGGAATGGGTACAGAAATTGTGGTATTTTTACACAATGGAATACTACTCAGCAATCAAAAAAGAGGAAATCATGAAATTTGCAGGCAAATGGTGGGATCTAGAAAAGATCATTCTGAGTGAAGTATCCCAGAAGGAGAAAGACAAACATGGAATATACTCGCTTATATAGACCTAAAAGATATGATAAACATAATGAAATCTATACACCTAAAGAAGATAATCAAGAAAGCAGACAAGGGGTATGATGATCAATCCTCATTTAGAAAGACAAATGGGATATGCATTGAACATATGACAGGAGTCTACCGCAGAAAGCATCTGAAAGACTCTACCTAGCAGTGTTCCAAAGTAGATACTAAGACTCATAACCAAACCCTCGGCAGAGTGCAGGGAATCATATGAAAGAAGGGGAGTTTGATGTGGAAAGGATAGGAGCTCCACAAGGACCAAACATATCTGGGCACAGGGTCTTTTCTGAGATGGACACTCAACCAAACACCATGAGAGGATAAAACCTAGAACCTCTGCTCGGAAGTGACCCGTGATAGCTCAGTAATCAATTGGTTTCCCATAACAAGGGGAACAAGGACTATTTCTAATAGGAACTCAATGACTGGCTCTTTCACCTCCCCACCTCCCAAGGGAGGAGCAGTACTGTTAGGCCGCAGAGGAGGACTTTGCAGCCAGTCCTGAAAATACCTGACAAGACGGAGTCATATGAAAGGGGAGGAGGTCCTCCCCTATCAGTGGACTTGGAAAGGGGCAGGGAGGAGATGAGGAAGGGAGGGTGGGATTGGGGAGGGAATGAGGGATACAGCTGGGATACAGAATTAACAAAATGTAACTAATAAGAAAAATAAAATTAAAAAAAATTTAAAAAAAGAGAGAGGGGAAGGGAGAGAATGGTCCAAGAAACCTGACACACACACACACACACACACACACACACACACACACACACACACACACCACTGGTTGGGCATGGTGAGCGTGCACTCCTGTGGAGTGGATAGAAGCAGAGACAGACACAAATGAATTATGGGCTCAAAGCCAGCCTTAGCTACAGAGATTTTGTCAAAAGAAAAAAAGAAGAGGGTTGGGGGATGTAGCTCAAGTGGTAGAGTGCCTGGATTTAATCCTGAAAACCACAAAACTGGGTGTTACAGTACAAGTTCAAGGTAGTATGTAGGTAGTTGAAGCCAAAATAAGCTACAGAAAACCCGCTCTCAAACAAAACAAACAAACAAACAAAAAGTGAAGCTTATGCTACTAGCCACAGTTTCTCTCTAAAGGACTGGCTAGGCAGAAAAATTACAGGTAGGAAAATTAAAAACATTTGCCAATCATTTTATGATTATTCAGAAACAATAGCAGCAACAAAAGGAAATATCTTGGTGCTCAAATGATGTGCATGGCTGGTATAAAAAAATGTGGAAGTGTGAATAAGGAACTGTCTCTTATTCTGTATTGTTATCGCTAATTATTAAGTTTTGTGACCTTCGACATGAATTTTTTTTTAAGGTTTGATCTCTTGGGTCAAATGTCCCTGAACTTGCCTTCTATTAGTCATATGGAAAACATGAGATCACATTTACAAGGTTTGAGATTTGACTGTGTGGTTGAGACAACAGGAAATGGATTTCACCTGGAATATGAGGGGTGATTCTTGGGCTTTTATAAACGGGGTAGTAAAACTTACCTTAATGTCATAAAACCTTTAGAATATGATAAAAACCATCTGGAAATATTTAAAATGTGATTTTTAAGAAAACGTCTGGAGGACAGATCTACACAGAAGAGATCATGGCCTATGTAGTTTAGGCTGGCCCGAAGTCACTTCAAACCTCTTGTCTTGGGGAGGGGTAAGGGTGAAGGTGGAGGTCCTTGAACTCAGTATGTTGCAGAAGATTATGACATTGGGTTTTCTGCTCCTTCTGTTTCCATCTTCCTAAGGCTTGGATTACAATCTTGCGTCACCACGCCTAATTTTAGAATTGTTTTAAAATAGATTTCTGAATGCTTTAAAGTTTGAAAACCTCGTAGGGTTGCTCAAGATAGTTAGGAAACTACATTTCCCAAGAGTTCACGCGGCAAGTTGCCACACGGGCCTGATCACTTTACCAAAAGGCATAATGGGAAATGTAGTGCCCCGAGCAACCGGGCACACAACGCTGGTGGAGAAAGACGGGAAGTGCGCCTCCAGTGGCAGGACAGGGGCTGGACAAGGACTCTGCACAACCCCAATTTAGTGTGTGCGGTTGGAGAAGGGCCCAGGTCATATGTACCTGACCCCGCAAGGTGCCGGCCGGGATTCAGCGCTGGGTAGCTGATCGATGGTTTCAAAGGGAAGGTGCCAACCGCGGATGGTCGAGCTCGTACCCGCCCCACCCAGGCTGCAGCAGAGCGGGGAGGAAGCGCGCTTAGGCCGAGTGCAAAAGTTTCCTTTTCTGCTTTTCCGTCAGAGCAGCTACAACTAGCCGAGGGTGGGGATGCCTGACTTTAGTTGGAAGAGAGCCTGGGAGCCAAAAGGATTAAAATAAGCGACTTCCCGAAAAAAAAAAAAAAATTAAAACAAACAAACAAAAACCTCTACCCACCTCTAGCCATGGGCAGCAGAGATCACCTGTTCAAAGTGCTGGTGGTGGGGGACGCCGCCGTGGGCAAGACGTCGCTGGTCCAGCGCTACTCCCAGGACAGCTTCAGCAAGCACTACAAGTCCACCGTGGGAGGTGAGCGGCTGGGGGCGGCTGGGAGCAGACGTCCCGGCTTGCAGCCGGTAGCCGCTAGGTACTAGGGGTCTGCCTCTTGGGGTTCTCAGCCTGTGCTGACTGACTGCCAAGATAGGACCGAAGTATACCTGTGAGAGATGGACAAGGTGGAGGGGTCTCAGCCAGAGTAGTTCACAGCAGAGAGCAGGGCCCTCCGGCAGCCATGCGCTTCACAGAGCAACTTCTCCAATCAGCCCCCGGTTCAAGGGCGGACTGGGGCAGTTGCCCTGCCTCCCATTAGCACGGGATGGGTGTTGAAGAAAGAACGGACTTGACCTCAGGAAGAGAGCCCAGGAGCTAAGCAGTCAGGAGGACCAAACGTGGGGAAGATTAGGGGACAGATTTTGGTCAGGACTCAATGAGCCCCGTGGGGTGCTTCAATAAAGGCGATTTGTGGACTTCCTGGGAAATGTGAGGAATTCACGAAAAAAATGTGACATACAACCCAAGTGGCCTATCTTCTCACACACCAGGGAAGGGAGGAAGGGAAGGAGAAACACTGAAAGTTAATTCATTCTTTCCCAGTGTGAACTGGGAACCCACACTGAACTGTCCCTCACACACACCACCACCACCACAAGTAGAAGTTAGTTAACAAGGCGATGTGAAAGAATAACCTAAAATCACACTTGCACCAACACACAGTTTGAAAGTGTGTGCCGGTGTTCTTTTGAAAGTTTTGGAGGGTTTTGTTGTTGTGGTTTTTTGTTGTTGTTGTTTTACTTTTTGTTTTTTTGGTGGGGGGATTTCCAGACAGGGTTTCACTGTGTAACAGTCCTGGCTGTCCTGACTCGCTCTGTAGACCAAGCTGGCCTCAGACTCACAGAGATCGCCTGCTTCTGCCTCCCCCAAGTGCTGGGATTATAGACGTTTGCCACTGCACCCCAGCCATATGAAAATTTTTTAAAGTAGCTATCTACCTTGAAATAAAACTCTAAAGAATATTTGGCAAATGACAGGAGACGGCTCAGTGGGTAGCGATGCTGACCTCCTGAGCTGGCTTCCCCAACCTCACAAGATGAAAAGAGAAAAGAAACTCCCAAAAGTTGTTCTTTGGCCATCGTGGGAGCACGGTGGCACTGGCATACACTATATAAAACATTTTAACTAATTTTTCAGAAGTATCTGGCAAAATTAAAGGCTTAACATTTCAAAGACTGTTTCCTGACTGCTTTGCCCACCGGTGTTAAATATGTGCCTTTATTTCATGGATTTGGGTTAAAAGTTTCCTGTGAATTAATTTTTACTAGCAGCTTAGTTCTCCTACAGCATGAATGTAAATGATTTGTTTTTTTTCCCAGTGTTTCTTATAAATTCTCCCTGTGGCTTTTGCCACAGATGTAGAAGTATACGTTTCCAAGTTAAAATCGTTCTGTTTTTCTCCTTAACACAGAGCTTTCCCTGCACTGCACAGCTTTGAGAGGTTCCACTGGAATAGTTGTTCAGCCCAATTTCACAGGGTTTCAGCATCTGCAGACCTAATGGTGGATTCCAGCATAGCTCTTAAGCGTCATCCATTCCTGCCTGACATAATTACCATGGCCTTATGAATGAGATAGAGGTTTTTGTTGTGCTTCTCATAATACTGTTTGACTAGATGCTAACAGTGAAGTTGAATGTGGAAGGTACAAAAGTGATGGCACTCAACTTCATTTTTTCCTTCTCCCCTATCATCCTTTCCTTGAGAAAACCCCCTAAAAATTCCCAGAAGCCATTTAACCTGAGAATAGGGATGACTCCCATAATCATTCCCACTTTCCTTTTCCTAGCCATAAGATAATTTGTTTGAAATAATTTGATCTGACAGAGGAGAAAACACTGAAGACCCTTTGAGAGTATGAGTTGTGTCCCACACTTATACACCATATGGGTCATCTCCATCTATTGAAGGCTCAAACCTAATTGGAGTTTCATGATCTTGAAGTTATCATTGTATGTTTGATCTGAGCTTATCCCTGGGTTTAATTTGTTTTTAATTTTGTGTGTATGTGTGTGTATTCTTGTGTGCCATGACATACATGGTTTTTACTAAGGTTTAACTTTTTTTTTCAGTGGATTTTGCTCTGAAGGTTCTCCAGTGGTCAGACTCAGAGATAGTGCGGCTTCAACTGTGGGATATTGCAGGTAAAATGGGAAAAGGAGACAGGAACAAAAGTGGAGATTATTTAACCAGAAAGCTGTCTGGGATGGGGTAGGGGTCCAGTGGAAATGGGATGGCAAAGCTGACATTTTTTTTTTTTTCACTGAAGCTACAAGTTTGAGCTGCTCTGAGCTTTTGAGATGATTTTGGAGATTGCTCCAAAGACATCAATCCACCACTGTGGATGGGTGGTGGAAAAGCTTCTATGGTCGTGGATTGTCCGTAGGTGGATGCTCCTCAGATAGGAGAGTGGGCTCCAGAACTTTGGCTGATTTTAGTGGGAAACAAGAGCTCCAGAAAACATACAATGATAATGATGAATCCTTATTTGTGTTGTTCTTCAAAGTATTTCAAATTTACCAGTTCACTAACCCTGTTGTGAAAGCTTTTGTCTTACTCTGCACATGCATAAATATGAGGTGCTCAGCCTGGTTTTCTTAAAGTCACACAGATAGTAAGTGGCAGATAGGGATTTGGACATTGCAATTTGGATTCAGAATCTGCAGTGGAACTGATTGAGTTTAATGATTCCTTAACGGGATAAACAGAGTCAAAGGGGAAAGGAAGAGGCCCTGTCTTCCATATATGCAAATGCTGTCTTCCTGTGAAGAAAGAGTTGTCAGGGTATCAGAGAGGGTACTCACCTTCAGAATCACCTTCTTAAGGGCTCTCTCTTCTCTCCAGGGCAGGAGCGTTTTACCTCTATGACACGACTATACTATCGAGATGCTTCTGCCTGTGTTGTTATGTTTGATGTCACCAATGCCACCACTTTCAGCAACAGCCAAAGATGGAAACAGGATCTGGACAGCAAGCTCACACTGCCCAGTGGGGAACCAGTGCCCTGCCTGCTCTTGGCCAACAAGGTGTGTGGCCAGTTTTAAGTAAATGGTCCATGGCATCTATCAGTGGCCAGAGTAAAGGTATCTAAAAGGCCCTGTGTTTCTGAGCATGCACACTGTTTTATTTTAGTTTTTTAAGACAGAGTCCATATAGCCAAGGCTGGCCTAGAACTGAAAATCCTGCTTGTGTTGCCCGAGTACTATAATTAGTGCCACCATTCCTGGCCACCAGAACAGCAGCATGCCTGTTTGCCCCTTTCAAGTTGACAGAGTCACCCTCCACTTTCTTTTAATGAGATACTGAGAAAGTGATTTTTCTTTTCTTTTCTTTTTTCTTTTCTTCTTATTTTATTTTGTAGGAGAGTGTTTTGCCTGTATGTATACCATGTGTATGTGTGGTGCCCAAGGAGGCCAGAGAGGGTGTCAGAGTCATAGGTTTGGAGTTACAGAATGTTATGAACTGACATATAGGTGCTGGGAGTGGAACCTGGGTCCTCTGGAAGAGCAGCCAGTGCTCTTAACTGCTGAGTCAATTCTACATCCCTGAGAGTGACATTTTTATTTTGTTTTGTTTTGTTTTGTTTTGTTTTGTTTTGTTTTGTGTTTTTCGAGACAGAGTTTCTCTGTAACAGCCCTTGCTGGCCTGGGCTTGCTTTGTAGACCAAGCTGGCCTCAAACTCACAGAGACCGTCCTACTGCTGCCTCCCTAGTCATGGGATTAAAGGCTTGAGACACCATGCCTGGCTGAAAGTGACTCTTGTTTGTTTGTTTGTTTGTTTGTTTATTTGTTTGTTTAAGGAAGAATGTTGACTGCAGATTTTAGATGTTGGTGATCTCAGGCACTGGTTGAAAATTTCTCTAAATGCACGGCTTCTATGAAGATTATGGTGTTGCCACTTATGTATTTTCTTTGTCAGAGTGATCTGTCCCCTTGGGCAGTAAGCCGGGACCAGATTGACCGGTTCAGTAAAGAGAATGGTTTCACAGGTTGGACAGAAACATCAGTCAAGGAGAACAAAAATATTAATGAGGCCATGAGGTGAGTAGCTCTTAGGGCTCTGGGGACAGGCACACACACTATTGTCCACTGTGACCCCATAGACACTCTTTTCTGTTTTCTGAGCAAAGGAGTACAGGTTAAGCCACTGGAATGCCAGCTTTCCTAAGATAATTGAGGACAAAGGAGTGCTTAAACCTTGTGTCTTTATGGAGTTCTCTCTGTTGATAAGACAATACCTGCTACATCTTTTTCTCCATCTACCCTTTTGAGATTATTCTTGTTTTCTGTTTGGTTTTTTGTTTGTTTGTTTACTTGTTTGTTTTGTTTTCTTGTTTTTTTTAAGAGTCCTCATTGAAAAGATGATGAACAATTCCAGAGAAGATGCAATGTCTTTGTCCACCCAAGGGAACTACATCAATCTCCAAACCAAGCCATCCTCTGGCTGGACATGCTGCTAGTTAGTTCTGTTAGCCTCTTTTTGTATCCAGGTCTCTGAGTCATTCCATCACTTCCTGTTGGTTGTCCAGCCAGCATAAAAATTCTGTTAAGTATATTTGAACCATCTGTTACCAACTGCCTAGAAAGAAGACCAACTGTGACTTGGGAATGGTTACCTGGGATCCATGTGCATTTCTGTTGTTCCTGGATGTTGTCTGTGATTTAGTGTTTCCTATGTGACAGTGAGCATCTCAGTCCTCAACTGTGGGATGTGTTTACAGGAAGGATTAAAAAGTAGCACCTGTGTGTGTTTGTGTTTTGTAATGCCAGGCCTTGCACATGCTGGGCAAGCATCTTGTTACTGATATACATCCTAGCTCTAGCCTTTGGTTGTAAAATAATCCTCAAGGCCAGCAAGTTATCTCAGTGAGTAAAGTCACTTGCAACCAAATAAGAAAACCTGAGTTCAGTCCCTGGGTCTCACATGTTAGTAAAACTGACACAAGTTTGTCCTCTGACTTAGACACACACACACACACACACAATGGCACACTCTTGCTCTCACACATACAAAGTAAATAATGTAAAAAGTACAAATAAAATATTTGACAAGTAAATAAGTGACACAAAGACACTTGTAGCACATATGCCTACAATCCCAGCACTTGGGGTTCTGAGGCAGGAGAATAAAGCTATGAGGACAAGACAGCTTGGGCTACATAGTGTAAAAGCCCATCTTTAAACATAATAATAATAATTCTCACCAATTTTTGAGATTTTTTTTCTATTTAATGTAGAAAAAAACACCATGAATTCAGATTGAGGGAAATAAGATCAAATGTCCTTTTAACCAAATCCCATTTTCTTTCAGATTCGTCCTGTATCAGATTTAACATTTTAACATGAGATTCTGGGGTTCAGAGGGAAGTCATTGGACATCTACTAGTTTTGGGCTACTGGTTAAAAACAAAATCATTGTGTTTTTGAAATTTTTAGTTATAATTAACTTTACCTTATCTTGGTTTCAAGAGTAGCCAAGCTTTAGGCTGGAGAGTAAAGAGTACTGCTGCTTTTAGAAGAAGCCAAATTTGATTCCCAGCACCCACATGGGAGGCTGACAACCAGCTATAACCCCTGCTGAAGGGGAATTCATCATCTCTGCCCTCAGAAAGCACCTGTATTGACATGAGTATACAGACATACACATCCAAGCACATAAAAATAAATAAATAAAAATCAATCTAAAAGCAAAACAACAAAGCAGAAGTTCAAGATCATCTTCAGCCAGAAGAAGAAGGAGGAGGAGGAGGAGGAGAAGGAAGAAGAAGAAGAAGAAGAAGAAGAAGAAGAAGAAGAAGAAGAAGAAGAAGAAGAAGAAGAAGAAGAAGAAGGAGCCAACCTTTTGGCCAGAAGTGGTAGTACTCCCCCTGTAATCCTGACACTTGGAAGGCTAAGGCAAGAGAATTTGAAACCAATATGAGCTACATAATTATACTATATTTCAAAACATTAAATAGAGGCTGGAGAGATGGCTCAGTGATTAAGAGCAGTAGCTGCTCTTCCAGAGGACCAAAGATCAATTCCCAGCACCCACACAGTGGTGACCAGTGGACTGTGACTCCAGTTTCCAGGAAATCTGATACCCTCTTCTGGTGTTCTCAGGCATTGCATTGCATATAGTACACAGACATGCAGGAAAGACACCCATAGAATAAAAGTTAAAATAAATAAATAAACAAATAAATAAACCCTACAAGTTTTACAACTATCTGCATCATGATAACATTTCTTACCACACTTTTTCCCCCCTCAGGTTTATCTAGAATTTCTTGACCAGTTTCATGAGGCAGGGATTTTAGTGGGTATCCTGGGCTGATGTATTTTGTCCTTTCTTTTGTTTCAAAAGAGGGTCTCACTCTAGCCCTATCCAGCTTGGGTTGATGTCTCAGTGCATAATGCTATAAATAAAACCAGTTGACTTAGTGTTCTGCAATAAATCTGTTCTTCATGGCAGTATAGACTTGAGTGGGAGAAGGAAAGGGAGAGGTTAACCAAACAGAATTTGGTTATAAACATGGTGAGTAGCTGGTGCTTAACATCCACAGGAAACAAATGTGCATGGGCCTTGGCCTAAGGATGGAAAGAGGACACACTGGAGATCATTAGATAATTTAAGCACTGTAAATTAGGCAGAAATGTGTTGTTTTCCCAGAATGGTGATTTACAACTAACTAAGGATAATCTCAAAATTTGAGATTATAGGAAGGGCTGAAATAATTAACTAGGTCTTAAGTGTCCCATATCTGCCTCATCAGAACCATCAAAACTGTGTGTAGGTGCCTGTGTGTGTGTTTGCACACATACTCTCCTGTGTATGTGTATAGTATGTGTGTGTGTGTATTCGTGTATGTTTCATGTCTTAAGCTTTTTAAAGAATCAATCTTAAATCTGTTCAATGAAAATTTCCAGTAAAGCATGGAATGTTTTCAAAGGTTCCCTGGTTCAGCCAGACTTGGAAACTAGTGCTAGAGAGTGAGGTAAAGATAGAGACCATTGTCTTTTCTCTGTGAAGCTTCTTGGACATCTGGATATTTTGTCCACCATCCAGTGATTCTGATGTACACACTAGGCTTTGAAAACCACCCTCCAGGTACTGGAGGGATAGTGCAGAGGTTAAGAACACTGCTTTTCTGGAAGCCCTGAGTTCCTAGCACCCATGTCAGGTGTCTCCTAACCACCTGTAACTTCAGTTACAGAGAATGTGATGACCACTTCTGGCCTCTGCAGGCATGCACGCATGTAGCAAATATTCATACAAATGCACGTACAATAAATAAAATATTAAAAAATAAATACTTTTAAAGGAAAAGAGAAAGAAAACCACTCTTCAAAGAGGCCCACCATGTACACAGAGGCTGAGGACCATCATGAGCTCCAGCCAGACTGTGTGAGCTGTTGTTTAAAAAACAAACAAACAAAAAAAGCATAAGGCAGGTGACATGGCTCAGAAGGTTAAAAAGAGGAGCTTGCTGCCAAGCCAGACCATCTGAGTTGGAGCCACAAGAAGAAATGAGAGAACCAGTTCCCATTGTCCTCTGATCTCTACACTGAGGCTATGACACATAAATAAATAAATGTGATTTAAAAAAAAAAATTCTTGAAAGGCAAGATTCCAGAAGCCAAACAGGAGAGGACAGAAGACTCCATTTGGCTTTTGAAGTGAGCTCTCACTGTACCTCCCAGGCTGCTTCACTCTCCCTACTGCTCAGAGAAGTGAGCACCATTGATGCCAGTTACCTGGCCTTTTATGACCTTGGGATGCTCTTATATTGCTATTTTCAGATAGTGTTCTGATGATAGTTACTGTCTGTTCCTCATCTCCCCCCCCCCCCGCCTTTATATAAAGCATCTTACCATTCACATTGGGAAGACCTCTAAACCACAGTCATCCTGCCTCAGTCTCCTAAATTCTTGAATTAGAGGTGTGCACCATCACTTCTAACTGTAGCGGTTGTTAGAGGTGTACCCCATTGCTCCCCTACTGCAATGGTTGTTTAGAGGTGCACTCCATCACTCCTGAATGCAGTGGTTTTAGAGATAGAATTGTATCTGGCCTTTGTTACTTTGTTACTTTGTTGTTTCTTCTTTCCCCTACCCTTTATCCCTCCGCCCACCTTTCACCCCCTAACACTAGATAGGGAAGACACAAGGATAGAGGGGAAAGAGAAAAACAGGAAAATCCCGGTATCTAATTTCTTTACTTTCTTCTTTGATCATAACTACTAACAAATTGCAACCAACCTCCCTAAATGACCAAAAATCACCCACTCCACCTTTGGGGCTCTAGCATTTATATACCCTCTGAAAAGTTCCCAGAATTCCAAATATCCCATAATCTCAGAAACTATCTGATGCTGGAAAAACCATGCCTCTTCTAGAGCACAAGGCAAATCATAGTCAGCTGCTGCAGATAGTCCAAAGCAGCCCCATATCCCCACACCTGCGATTAAAATGAAAACATATTCTTATATTTTTTTGTTGTTTTTTTTTTTAAGAAACCAAAATTCCAGAATTTTCACTACATTTCCCTCCTGTTTTAAGCCATTAATTGTGCTGTGTATGGTGGGAAATTATAAACAGACATTTACCAAGAAGTAAGTGCTTTTTGGGTCAGTACCAAGGTTTTCAGAAGACCTCTCCTGCTCAATTCTAATCTTTATCTGTTTTAATGGTATGCTCAGTTCTAATCTTTATCTGTTTTAATGGTATCCACGAATTTTCATTTTCTATGGATCTACAAGTAAATCTGTGTCCCTAATGCAAAACTTTTGCTGGTTTTTATTCTGATTTTAATACATCCTTATAGTATATGGGCTAATTAATTCCAGTTGTTTTTTTTTTTTTCTGTAACCTAGTGTCTCAGCTGCTGTTGTTCCTTTCTCGTTAGCATCCAGAAAATTTAAAGTTAGCAGAGCACTATTTAGTCTGTGCCTGGGGTCTTTGTTCTTCCTTTCTGTTTTATAAGCATTTTCCTTAAGGTGCGATTAGATCTTTCTAAAACTGCTTGTCCTGTAGGATTATGTGACATCCTGTAATGTGCTTTATGTTATAAGACATAAAGAATTGCTTTATCATCTTACTTGAGACATATGCAGAGGCATTGTCAGTCTTAATTTGTGCCAGTATCCCCATAATAGCCAGTACTTCTAGTAAATGTGTAATTACAGAATCAGCCATTTCAGAACTCAAAGCAGTTGCCCACTGAGACCCTGAATAGTTATCAATGGTATGGTGTACAAACTTTAGTTTTCCAAATTCTGCTAAATGAAACACATCCAAATGACAGATTTCATTTCTTTTTGGTACCCCTAGGGTTATTTCCAGCAAGTAAAGGAGTTTGGTTATACAAAAAACAAGTAGGACTTTTTTTTAATAATTTTCTTGGCTTGTTGCAAGGTGATAAAAAAAAGTTTTCTTTAAACTTTTACTGTTAACATGGTGTTTTTCGTAAAATTTGAAGGGTTCTAACATTTCTTTGTTTCTTTGTGCTAATGGACCTGACAAGCCTATATGATACTACGAGTAATATATAATGGAAAATTTTTATTTCTGATTGCCTGATGCATCTGTATGAATAACAAGGTTAATGCTGAATTATCTGGAATAAATTCAGCAGTTTCTATATGCAAAACAACTCTTTCTGCATATTAGGAGTCAATAATTGTATTAAGAGATTCAGGAAAATCTAATAATACCATAAGAATTGCACACAGCTCTGACCCTTTCAACTAAAATCTATGGGCT